AAATTCAAAATACACATAAATATACATAAATGTACATAAATGGGCATGTGGCACCTACACAGCCAATGAGTGTCCCTCCTCTGTTGTCATTCTGAGGTCATTTTTAACCAACACAGACAAATAAACCTGCTGATTTTAAACAGTTTCCACCTTCCCGAATAGTTGAAACTGTCCAAAAACGTCAGTTCAACCGGGGTCAAACGAAGAAACTTCAGAAGAAAATTTCGGAAAAACTAAAGCTGTTGTTAGCCCGATTCGTTAGCCGGAAACCTGAGAATAAACCAAACGTATAAAAATGACATTTATTGGGTCACAGGCAAAGTACAGAACTGTCTCAGAAAATTTGAATATTGTGATAAAGTTCTTTATTTTATATAGATAGGATATTTGGGTTTCTTAAGCTGTAAGCCATAATCAGCGATATTAAAACAATAAAAGGCTTGCGATATTTAAGTGGATTTGTAATGAATCCAGAATGTATGACATTTCATGTTTTTAATTGCATTACAGAAAATAAAGAACTTTATCACAGTATTCTAATTTTCTGAGACAGTCCTGTATATCACAGACAAAAACCTCTCTCTGGGTCTCAAAGAGCCCTGAGATCTGGGTGTGATGGGCATTATCTCTTCAAAGGACTGGACATAACCAAGTCCTATTGGCTAGTTAGCTCTGGGCATAAATAGGCCAGGTCCTAATTCATGCAGATGGAATGTGGTAACAAATGGTGTGTGTTTGTGTTGACCTAAAGGTGGATCTAATGCAACATAGAGAGAAAAAGAGAGAAAAAGAGAATTTGTGGACACAGCCAGAGACTTTAACACAAAAATATAGTTATAAAAATCAGTAATTTACATAGATCATGTGATAGCATGCTATGCTAAAGTGAGTAATTATAGCCAGATTCTAACAGTGTGTTTTAATTCCTCACAAAAGTGACTTTCAGGGGGTAGAAGAGGGTGTAAAAAAGGAGGAAGAGTGCCTTAAAATGCACATAATCTGTTTGTTTCAGTTCCCCCCCCAAATGCAAACCTCTTCCCTCTGAGGGGGGGGGGGCCTTCGCTTATTTACTCGTCCTTGGGATTTTGCCCCCAGCGGTTATTTCAACACATCAATGAATCCCTTATGCAAATATAGACTTTTCAAAATGTTCTAACCCCCCCCATCTCTTTCTGTCTGTTTGTTTTATAGTCTCTCACTCCAGCCGGACCCCCCACCCCCACCACTCTCCTGCCCTCGGGCCGAAACTGACCAGTGGCCGGATCTCTGGAACCGTCGGCCGTTCAGAGACAGCCGGACCACCCCCCCCC